AAATTTTATATATATATATATATATATATATAAATGTTTAAAAGGATTAAATTTTTACGTTAATTGTTTGAATAAAGTAAACAAATTAGCAGAAGAAGTTGCTAAAAAAATTCAAGAAATTGATGAAATGTCATTATCGGAATATGAGTTGCTTCCGGAAGAAGACAAAAAATTTTATTTGGAATCAACTTTACCAATAAAGAAAGAAGAAGCGTTGCAAAGACGAATACAATTTTCACAACAAATGATAGAATTGAGAAAAAAAAAAGTATTAACTTTAATTTAACTTTATAGATCATAGATACATTCTCTACACATATAATTTATATTTTCTTTGAAAATTACATAAGATGTTCATAATCATAATAATTTTTCTCTCTCTCTCTCTCTCTCTCTCAATTTTTCTCTTGTCAATTTCATGATTCTACCATCAATATTAATGTAAATGAAATTATATTTGTAATGTTTAATATTTAAGTTTCTTATCGATAATACGCATTCCACAAAATTTTTTTTTCTCAGCAAGTATCTAACGCTCAAATTATTAAGAATAAAAAAGTAAATGAAAAAGCAAAGAATGAAAAAATTAGTAGTGAAGAAAAAAAATCCCAAATTTCTAAAACGCTTACTCTCATGAAAGAAAGTCAAGAGCATAAAGAACTCGAAAGTAAATATATAATAATTCTAAACCAAGTAATATTTAAAGTAAAACAAAATATCATGCAAATATTAATTTGTTGAGAGAAAACATTTTATTTTATTTGTAATCTTATACACAGTTTCGGAAAGACAAGAAATATCAGAGGAATTAAACACTATTGCTGATGCTATGAATGATTATTATAGCCATCTTTCGGCTATAGAAAATGTTATACAAAATTGGGATCCTCTTAAAAAAGTAAATATCTGGAAAATTCTACATAATTTTGATTATTTCTTCTAAATATCATATTTAAAAACATTTATTACTATTTTTTAATTATATTATTGCCAATGATTTTTAGGATGCATTGTTTACATCAAAAGACGAAGATTTAAAGACCAATAAACTAATTGATACAAAAAACAACAATTCTGATATCAGTAAAGAGGTATATATCAAGAAAAAAATTTTTTCTTAAAATTTATTCTGAAATATGATAGTGCTGAGACAATATTGTATTTCGAAAAATTTTATGTAAATCTCTCTTATTCATTAATAAAACTATAATAAAACATAAAATATTAAGTTTACTGAAATGCATGATAAAAATCTTTAAAATATTGAGTTATATCACAACTACTATATTTTCAGAGTAAGTTTTAAGAGAAAATTATTTCTGTGTAGATTTTAATAATTTAAAAAATTTATATAAGTTTGTTTATATAATTTACTATTTAAAAAATAAGTATTTGTGTGTGTGTGTGTGTGTGTGTGTGTGTGTGTGTGTGTGTGTGATACTTATATTATAATTAAACGTAGAATTTAATAAACAAAAAAATTTACTGTACATTCTATATCTACAAAAATTTATTTTAACAGATTTATAAGAACGGATTTCATACTTGGTATGTAAATTCTACAGATCCATGGAATCGAGTGATGTATGATGTAATAGTAAATCAAATAAGGGAAAATGATTTAGCTAAAAAAGCTCTTCGTAAGTAATATATTCCTCTCTTAAATTTTTTTTACAAAAGTATAAAATAATAATAAATAATATTAAATTTAAAACTAGTTACTAAAATGCCAATATTGGACCTCGAATCGAAAAAATATTATATTCTTAAGCCACGAGATATAAAAAAACGAGATATTGGAAATAGTGGCAAGTATATTATATTATATAATTTATAACATATATTTATCTGTAATATATTTATCTGAAAAACATATTAATCGCAATTTTGTTTTATTAATCAGGAGCTTTTCAAATTGTTTCATTATCCACACTATCCTCTATAATTATGGAATCTAATTCGTCACACACTAATATAATTAGTAAGCAAGAAAATTTTGTAAAGAATACCAAACGCAAAGAGCGTATTTTTAATAAAAATAAAGATTCATTGATAGCATCCTTAAACGCATCTACGGTAGACAGCACGGACATTAATGAACCTAATATTAATACAATCTTTGAGAAAGTATTAAAACCACGATGGATTTTGCAACCTAATGAAATTCAGAAATTCAAGATTCGATATCAACCTGAAGAAGTGGGAACTCACCGACAAACATATGCACTATCCGTCCTTGATGGCAATGAAATTACTTATGATATCAACGTTTCGGTCGTCACTGATGTCCCAAGATTAGACATGAACCCAAACACTATTTTTTCAAAAGTAATAATGGTTTTTATGAATAAATATTATATATATATATGATTTTAGTAAAATTAATGAAACGTGTTCCAGATCAAAGAAACAAAAGTAAACAATATAATTGATCCCACATATTTTTCTGATGTTGATATCTTCGACTTCGGATCATTATTGGTGTATCAAAAGGATAAAAGGTTTGATTTGATGCATTATATAATGAAATGTCCAATAATGGAAAGTGTATCAAAACTGTAAAACATGTCCTCATAGAACACTTTTGATACACCATAAACTAAAAAATTATCTGTTACTGTTATATCTTATATTTGATATTTTTGTTCATCAAATTATAAGCATATATGAGATATTCATTTCACTCAAATTCTTATTTAATCATTCTCACTCAATTTCTTCTTTAATTCTTACGGGGTCCTTTATAAATTAATTACAAATTTATTATAAATTTATTATAAATGTGTAATTTACAAACAGTGCTCATCGTCGTGAAGCAAAATTTAAGTTCTGCAATGTATCCAAAATTGACGCAGAAGTATCCTTCACTCTCCAAGAAAATAATTCAGATATTTTCATTATAGAACAAAAGAAACTTTATATTCAGGTATTTTTTATTATTCCATTTAAAATATATTTATTATCTACTAAAAACATGCAGATTTTTAAATTATTTTCTGTTATTTAATTGTATAGGCTGGACAGTGTGAATTGCTAAAAATATCAGCAGGTGTTACAAAGCTTGGTTCATTTACTGATAAGTTGTATATATGTATCACAGATAATCCGCATATTGAGAGTATCGAGGTAATTAGATAAAAAAAAATAAAAACCATAATAAAAATCAGAATATTGACACACACACACACACACCTATATACATATTTTTATCTATAGAAAATATGTGTAGAGATTATTACATCTAAAATGTTTTAGCTTCAATGTAATGGTTCGAAATTGGACATAGAGTTAGAGGATAAACAATTATCTTTTGGTCACGTATTCTTGCATAGAAAAAACTGTCTTACTTCTTGTATCCAAAATAGATCCCCAATTGAAATATTTTGGCAATTGGAGCCTAATGAACCATTAGATCCTCAAATCTCAATTACACCGACTAAAGGAATTATCAAGACTTACAGTGATAAAACAGTCGAATTTTGTTATCACGCCAACAAAGTAAAAGATTAAACTAAATTTACACTAAATATAATATTAAGACCTATTATTAAAAATATTAATATTTAAATTTTATTTGCTTAAATTTAGAGATTTAATAATTCTTTAATCCTTTCAAAAATTCTTATAAATTTCTTTAAAATCTAGTATTTTAATTCGATATTCTTAAAAATAACTTAAATTAGATTTTCGGTTTAGATTGGAATGATCGAAGAAAGCTTGACTTTCAAATTTTTCTTTTACGAAGACGACACAGAACCTATCTTTATAGAAACTATTACTTTATTCGGCGAAACGTATGATGTTGCTGTTGACATTAATTATGCAAATCCAATTGATTTAAAATACGTGAAGGTTGGTTTTCCTACGAGCGCAAATTTTACAATGAGCAATCGAGGAAATCATGAAGTTAAATATGCGTAAGTTGAAAAGTGTATCTAACAAATTCTTATATTCATTGTATCGAGATACTATCACTGAAATTGTACAACTTATCATTTTCATACATTACAAAATGTTCTTTTATTATTTCTTTTAAAATTATATTTATAGTCAATATAATACAATATATTGTAGGACCGTATATGTGTAATAACATAAACTGTAGAAATGAAAGTCTTAAACGGTTTAACTGGATCTTAAATGCTTGTATGAATTTATATACATGTACTACGTATATAGTTTCCAGAAACGCGCGCCGAAATGATTTTTCGGTCTAAAAACGATAACTCTACTAAACTACTGCAGTAATATCACGAGTTAGCGTTTTCAAGACCGAAAAATCGGTGCGCATTTCTGGGAACTACATACATGGTATATAAATTCACACAAGAATCATACAAGCATTTAAGATCCAGCTAGACCGTTTAAAGCTTTGATTTCTACAGTTTATATATTTATAGCATATTAATTATTAATTATATATGCTATACCAATTAATAATTATAATTAGCATACTTTTGGAAAAGCAAAACAAATTAGCCAAAATCGCGCCAAATTTGTCATTAAAATTGAACGAGGAAATAAAAATTAATCCTGCTTCTGGTTCCATTCAACCAAAAGAAGAAGTTATTATACAAGTATGTTTTTTGATGCACTTCTTTTTGGTGATTTCTTGCATTATATCACTAAAAATTAAAATAAACTAATTTTTATTTTTATAATATATTGACTTAATGTTTTACAATAGACAATACAAGCAAATTTAATGTATTTTTATACATTAAAAAATGTTAAATCAAATAATATGTTAAATCAAAATATCTAAGTTTTAATTAATGAAATTCTATTCAATGATAGGTAACTTTCGTACCAAACAATGAAATTACTTTAAAAGAGTGCCCAATACTCCGATGCCATCTTCTTGATATGAATAAAGAAGCTGCTGTAATTGCGGAATTTCCTCTCACAGTTTCCCTAATTGCGTATTACACGAAGTAAACTGTTATTTAAAGCTGAAAATTTCTTTAAATTATTATATGTCATAATTTTGAAACAAAGTTTTCCTTTTATAACTTTAAAAAAATCGAATTATTTACAATTTAGTAATAAAATACTTTTTCTTGCTTCTTAATAAATATTAATAACATAGTCACAATTATTCAAAGTTATATTCCATTATCTTTTTTAAATACAGGTTTCGCATTTATCCTTACAATGAAATAAATTTTTGCTCGCTTGGTATATGCACAAAAAAAACGCTATATCTTAATGTGGAAAATGTCGGTGAATTCCCTCTTCATTATTCTATTGTAACGCCTGTTAAACATCCATTCATTGCCTATATGTCAGAAAACGTAATTAAAAACAATGATGACAAATCGACAGATACGTCAATGAGAAAAGATAAATCGCAAATCAAAGACTTAGATGACAAGTAAATATTTAAAAAATCCTCCCTTTGATTAATAATTCTATGACATATGTATATAAACATATATATCAATTTATCTCGAACAAAGTATTTTTTTATTTTTATATACTATTTAATTAAATTAATAATTAATTTAATTAATTTAATTAAATATTCCAAAAAATAATTTTAATGTAAATATAAACAAAATATTTATTTAATTAAAAAATTTGTAATTATTTTTAGAAAGACACAAGAATGTATCACTATGTTAAAAATTGGTCCCTTTACTGTGACAAAAACCGAAGGAGACCTTCAGCCTGGAGAGATCGATATCGTGGCAATCGAATGTTATCCTGAATTCGTAGGTTCTGAAGAGGAAGACATAATAATTCTCGTTCCTGATAGCGCTCCCGAAGATAGAAATGGCAAATTGATAAAATTATCCGTTAATTCCTGCATACCAAGTGTTAATCTACAAGATCTCGACACTATATTCCATGAAAATCACATTGTGAATCACATCGAAGACTTCATTTGTTCAAAAGAAGTATTTAATTTTTTCAACAAGTCAATATTGTATTCATCTTTTAAATGAAAGTAAAACTAAGAGGCTTATACTTTTTATCAGATCGGTACACATACCATATTCGCACGTCAAGAGAAATGCCTGTATTTCCGTTACGTCAGCGTGTTTCATACTCATACAGCATACTTTGTGCTTTGCAACCAAAATGTAATACCTGCCGACGTGAAACTGACTTTACTCACGGATTCATTTACACCAAAAACTATGAGACCTGATACTTTCGTTCTGATACCCGAAAGAGAACGCATTCAACCAATGAGTCACAAGAGATTCGCGATTTCATTCAATCCGACGTTTATAGAGGTAACACTATCTTGTTTTTAAAAACAACAATATAAATATCTTAAAAATTAAAAATAATTATTACGGACTCACTGAACGATGCACAACAGCGGAGTTGTAGATTAGGTTGTAACTACATTGATCTATAAAATATAAACAAAATCTAAATTATTACAAGCAAAATAATTAACATATGAGAAACTATTACGTGCATTAAATTTATTAATAAACTAATTATAATTTATGCAAAAGATAAAAGACTTTTATAAAGTAAGAGATCTTTTCTTTTATTCTAAATCACTGAAATAAACGAGAATAAACAAAAATAACAAATATAAATATAAAGTTTATTCACTCCGTGACTGCTTTGTCTTCACCCGATGCCTTCCAGGTCTTCTCTTCCTCTAAAGTTTTTTGGCTGTACAACACACGAAACACGATTAATTGCAATTGTGCATGAATTAATTATAACCTTGCGGACAATTAAAACAATTTGCACGGTATTCCCGAGGTTAAAATTAATTAAAGACCGATCTCTCGCATTATCGGTGAAAACAGACGCAATATCCATTTTGAATAAGAATTTACGTTAATTTTTTAAATCAATATTTTAAATTTATATTACATTATGTTAGAAATAAATATATATTAACAGTACACAAGCGATAGCATACGGATTTACATTACTTGAAATTATCATAAAATAAATTATCACAATAAGATAATTTATAATTTTCATCTCCTATTGCTTCGATTCCGATTTCCAACGATTTTCAAATGAATGACTCGCATGAAATAGCTGCTCCGATAAGTAGCTGTTGTATCGATATATAAATTAATCATAAAAAATAACTGATTGCTCAACAAATTATAATAAGAAAAAAATTGCATTTATAAGCTTAGCTAACATCTTGTAGAGATGAAATACGGAGTAGTTTGAGCGAGTCGAGTGTTATTGTGCAACTGAGAGAGCGATAATATTATTAGTTGCTTTGTTTGCACACAAGTGAAACTGAATCTGAAGTGAGCTGAGTATTTCACATTCAGATTAATGGCGTCATTATTTGCATACTTTGATAAAAAGTTATCACATAACAATAGATTCATAACCTCACTTTTAAAATAAGTTTACTCATTAATAAGCACACGGTCAATCTTGTGCAGAATATAGACAAAAATTCAATTAAATCTCACTTGTCAGAATGCAAATGGAACACGCATTCAACTGAGTTATTACGTTACAAAAGAATTGTCTGAGAATCGATATAAATGGAAAGCTACTATTATGTATATACAACGATTAAATAACGTCATAAATATCAAGATTACATTGATTATTTTAAACCAATTATTTTATTTAAAGCTCTATATAATATAAATTTTCACTTGCAATTTATTTTTGAATAAGTGATGCAAAATAAAATAATTAATATAACATAATTATTGCATCGAGCGATATTCTCTAAATTCATTAAAGTGGAATTTCATTCTAAAGAATAAAAAGCCAAACTTAAGAAAAAATGGCTCAGTTTTCAATCTTTAAGAGTAAGATTTCACTTTTCAAAGTGATATAGATCACTCTAAAAGTTTGGAGAGTATTTTTAAACGCTTGACGTTTCCGATGATCTCAGTTTAACTTTGCTATCTTAATTCGAAATGGTAATGAACAAATTATAGGTAATAAAAGCAGCGAAAAATTTACACTGAGACAAGAAATTTATTTGACATCAAGGATATTAGCAGAATAATTATTATTCTTAAATTGTGAAACAATAATTTATAATTTACCAATCTCTCTTTCACTCTATTTCACTGATTTTTTTAAATAAATCGATGCTGAAAAATCAATTTCAGTCTCTCTTTTGACAAATATAAAGCTATTATCTCTGTTTAAAAATTATTAATCGCGAAAGCTAAAAGCGCAGAATACCAGTCACGAATTCTAATAATTGGAAGGAATAATCGTATTGAGTGTCTTTTTTTCTCAGCGTCATTTATTTATAACAAAAACAATCGTGTCTTGAAAAGTATTACGATAATACAAAATGGCTCTCTTCATTACTTACAATAGAGGAAAATCGCTGATATTGACATAGGTCTCCTAAAGCGACATCTTATTTCTTATAGGAACTATTGCATTTTATCAATACTAATAAAAATATAATCTATTTAGTTAAATAAAAAAGTGTAAACGCATAATTCGTATATTTGTGGCTTGTTCCTACACGAAATCAGCTAAAAATGAAATCTATAAATGCGAAAATAAAATTCTTACGATTTTCTTTTGCAAATTGTATAATTTAAATAATAGTGACTATATTGTTAATAATATTACGTCGTTTTAAATGCTTATAGGTTCCTAAATCAGTTTTATTTATATTATTTTTTTCTTAAGTTTTTTCATAATACGGTTTTGAATATAAAATCAGGGTGCAGCATAAAGCGACATACATGTCTGTAAAACAAATCATGAGCTAACTTAATCTTTATAATGTTGTTTTACAGTATTAAATAATTTTATTGAAGCTAAAGGCAATAATATATATATTATATATATGTATATGGGAAAGGCCTTGAAAAACTATCGCATTACATATTTACGTCTTGCAGAACAATATAAAGTAAATACGCATATAATTCAATTTTTTTTTATATTAAAGTAAAAAAATTCTGGAAAATCTTATATATTATTCACTTGTATTTTATACAGACAATTTCTGTAAAAGGAAAAGAAAGTCCATTTTGTCAATTTTTGGTTATCTCACGAAAAAAATGAATTATTGCAAACAGTGTTACAAAAATTGCAATATGATAGATATGTTATCTGATAGAAGACACTTTTTAGTTCCTATTTATGTATTTAAAGTTTTATTTTTATCTTTTGTTTTGAAAGAAATATTGTATTTAAAAACAAAGTAATATATCGATATCGGCGACCTTCCCCTACTTATGTATTCAATCAAAAATCAGTAACAATAAATGAATGACAGCACTGTGGCTTATACGGCTTTGCATACAATGCGCTAAATAAAAACAAATGCTAAGGGCGCGGGCCAATTAATTATTATTTTGAAGTTTTAATCCTTAAACGTCAGATTATTGAAACGATATAGAGGAGACTGGGGCTAATAAACTCATTTTTCAGTTTCGAATTTTTACAGACGAAATTAAGAGACTTATCGAAAAAATGAATTCTATACCAGTTACTATATACATTTGACTACCTAATAATATTTTAATAATAAGAGGAAACTGATAACTAAAATATATATAAAATAAAAATGCATTTTTTTATTGCATTTGATTCAATTAGCCCCGGGACCAGGATAATTCGATTAAGATTATTAAAATAAAAATTAATGTATTTTAAGTTACATCTTTGACTATATATTAATAAAATTTTTATAAAAATATATTTTAAACACAGACATTCGCTTCGGAAAAACATTTTGCTTTTCTTTTTGCAAAATTTCATTTCGTGCAAACACACATCGAATGAGTCTAGTTTTCGATATTGGACATGAGGGAGCTAAACTTATAACATTTATCACTGAGGAAAATCTTTTTAAAGGAATAAAATTTTGAGTAAGCACTATAAGAGTTGTCACAAATGAGTTATACAGTTCCATGCTGTGGTTAGTCTATTATCCCTACACACACACACACACACACACACACACACACACACACACACACACACACACACACACACACACACATCTGTTTTTATTTTTTTAAAAACATTAACAATATATGAAAACAAAGATACATAAACAAAAAAAATCTGTTGGACTTTATTAAGTAAGAACTACATTTACTATCTAGTAGAGATCAAAGTCTATCAAGTAGAAATCAAATATCTCAGACAATCATGTACGATTGTAAAACAAAAACTTTAAAAATAAAAATATTTACTTAGGTGTACGATTTTTTAAAATTGTGGCATAACTTCTATCACAGATATGTTCGCAACAAATTGTTATAGCAGACTTAGCGGCAGTTGCTACTGCGTGCTCAGACACGTTTACGCGTGTCTCGCATGTTTTGTTTTTAATGTAGCCTCAATTATTCTATTTACCCTTGTAGTCAACTGATCCCGGTCTCCCCTACTTGGGGTGTTCCCTACGACATACCCAATTCAATTGTTTATAACTTTCATAAAAATGAACATACTTATTAAAAATTTTTTTTATTGAAATATCAGACTTTAAGAAACATAACGGTATATATACATTTATCAAGTAAATGTATATATCTTTATTAATAAAAAAATGTTATTAATAAAAAAAGTTATAAATAATGAAAAAAAACATTGGAAAAGCATTGAAAAAACTGGGTATTGCCATACCCAGAGTAATTTTTAAAGGTCAACATTTTATTCACACTGAATTTTCACCATTTAAAATATAATTTTATTATTGATTTTGAATTAAAACGAGAAGTAAAGCATAAAATATTGTTATATTTAATAATACATTGTTTTATATACTTTGAATAAATTATCGATATAAAACGATACATAATACATAAATAAAACAATATATAATAAATTTCAATGATTTGAACTTTATTTCCGATACATTTATTACTTTGTAATCTTTATTTGAAAATAACAATTAATATATTATGTTTACATCAGAAAACAATTTACAATGTGATGAGAAATTTATTTATTCGAATTCGAAGATTGTTAATGAAATAATTATTTGTAAATTTTATGACAAAATGATAATTGATTATTTACATCTATTTCTATTAATCAATTTATATGAGTTTTTAATCGTGAAAATTAAACGCAGAGTGACAGTTACAAGTTCTAAATTAATTATAAAGAATATAATTCCGTACTGCGTCTATTTTCTGTCATATTATATTAAATTTTGAACAATAAGAGAGTTGAATTTTTAATATCAACTGATTAGTATATGTATATGTAATCGTTGTAAAACTTATCTATGCATGAATTATATACAGAATGTCCCATAAATTTTTGCCAAGCATTTTTGTGTAGATAGAGCGGACTAAACTGAATCAAAAAGTCCTCTATCATTTTGCAATTTTCGCAATGATTAACGAGATATTAATTATTAAAAATTACTGAATATTCGTTTTCAATAAGTTTTATTCGAATATTATCAATTTTAAATTCTTGTTACAACTCTACGATATGAGGCTAGTCAATTTAACTCGTGATATTACTGCGGTAGTTTAGTGGAGTTAGCATTTCAAGATCGAAAAATCATTTCGGCGCGCGTTTCTAAGAACTACATACGTAGTATATAAATTCACACAAGAAGTAAGCATTTAAGATCCTAAATCATTTAAGGCTTTGATTTCATATATATAGTCCTATAACATATTATATTATTTAAAATATTTTGCATTATTAAAGTAGGGAATTTGTTTCATCGGAGCACACACAGTCGTATCTAAAAGTTAGGTTTTATTGATGAACTTTTTTTTGTTAATAACTTTTTAATAAATAACAAGTTACGGCTGAAACTCTATTCGAGGTCACTCAGTCATATATTATATGTTAAGATTGTATGTCAAGGTTATCTGGGCAGACTTCCCTCCTCGACATATTTAAAATAAAATAAGTATTATTTTTAATTTCAATTTAGTTTTTTTTGTTTTTCATGATTTATGATTATAATTATAGACATGTTATGCAATCTTCGATGTAGCAGTCGAACTTCCCCCGCATTTGAAGGATGAAAAATTTTTCGTTAAATTAGTAGGACAAGCTTGCGTGCCAGAAGTGACAATCATCGAACCACCAAGCACAAAACGAGAACGAACTGTTTTAAATTTTGGTCGTACGCTTGTAGGTGAATCTAATGGAAAAAAATTTGCTATTAAAAATATTGGTGTGATACCAACTAAAGTGATTATCGAAATTATTGAGGATCCAAATTTCCATTTTACTCTCAACATTTGCGAGGATACAAGAAACTTGTCAAGTGGTAGGTACTATAAAATTAATCGTTGATTTAATTTTTCTTAATAAAGAAATAATTAAAAAGATAAATGAACATTTTATAAGAAAAGTTGTGTGAGTGTTAAAGATCTCAAAAGATCAATAGTTAATATAGAGAACAGATCTTTTTAAATAAGCGCATCAATGTTATCTTTGTATGTTATACAGGTTTTATAATTTACAGATACAATCATCTAAAATATTATACTTTTTCATAATAATAATAATTCTTTGAGAATAATAAAAAATACACACGCATATATATATATATATATATATATATATATATATATGTACACACTACTCAACAAAAAATAAGGAACACGTTAGAATACGCTCAAAATTGTGCAATATTCAGAACACCGTAACTCGGTGAAAAATTATCACAGACAAAAAATCAAAAAAGCACTTGAAAGCTTGAAATCTCTACTTTCGAAATCGGCAATTAATATTTTAATCTGACTGATTCTTTACGGAGATATATGGATGCAAATGGATCCCCCGTTAAATCTAAAAATTTTTTACAAACTTTACGAAGATCTATGACGTGAAGTAAAATTAACACAATGATCATTTTTGCTTCAACATTCAATAACTCGATGAAAAAAAATCGTATAGCACTCAATAAAAAAGCAAATTGAAGGTAAAAATTTACTTTTTCTTGCCGTAAACCGCATTTTTGTGTGAATTTTACTTTACGCCATAAATATATTGAAATATCAATTACCAATCAATTATCAATTACCAATTTCGAAAATAGAGATTTCACGCTTTTAAATGCTTTTTGATTTTTTGTCTGCGATAATTTTTCACAAAGTTACGGTGAATATTGCACTTGAGCGCAATATTTTGCGCAATTTTTAGCATGTTCTAAAGTGTTCTCTATTTTTTTCTTGAGTAGTATATTTTAAATAGTATTAATCTAAAAAGTATCTTTTTAATTTTTTTAAATCGATTTTTAATTTCTATGAAATTAATATATTTAATAAATATAAATATAATTAGTAAGACTCAATAAAATAAAATAAAATATTAGGTGTTGGAATTAATTCGTAGCGTTTTTTAATGAAAGAATGTTATTTATTTCACATGAGCATTAAAAAATACATTAATGAAAGTACTTCCCATCACTTGTAAAACGCTACGAATTAATTCCAACACCTAATAATTTATTATGAAATGATATAAATAATCACATTAAATAGCTAAATCGTTAAATTACAGTGTCAAACGATCGGTGTATCGTAATTCGTTTAATACCTGAAGAAACGGTTTCTCTCGAAGTAAAATTTACTCCGCGAGAGATCGGCAAGTACAAAAGTCAAGTGCAACTATTTATTACCGATAATCCCTATGAGAATCTAACAATTGATTTGAAGAGCGAAACATATGCAGAATTAATTGTGTTAGATGGATTAGAGCTCGCGAATACAAAGCTTAAGTCTGTCGATGAAAAAAAAGAATCTAACGCAAAATTGCGAAGATCGTCAAAATCAAATAGTACAACAAAAGGTAATCAAAATTGAAAAAGAATATAAGAATAATTATAAAAAATATAATTATAAAGAATTATAATTTCACTACAATTTTTTGTTTATTACTTAATCTTTTTGATAAATTTGTCAAAAGTATTTATTTATTATCTATTGTAATTATTTTCAATATGAGTATTAATGAATTAATCATTTTATAATACAAGCAACAATATAATTTATAATACTTTTCATCGATCTCCTATAAATTCTCTTTCAAGTACAATTTATACATTTTTCATTGCTCTATGATTTATATCTCACAGTTTCAACACCGCCAACGCTCCCGGTTTCATTGATCTATGTACTGGATTATGGATATTGCTTTGTTAATAAAATATACAGGAAGAGCTTTAAAGTCGTTAATAAATCAATAAACCAGTATTTACGTTTTCAATGGAGCGCACATCCCAACGTTGTATTTACTCCATCAATCGGTCATCTGAAACCTTTAACTTGTAAAGAAATCGTTGCGACATTTCTTTCTTCGGAGCCAACAATTTACATTGACGTAATATAAAATTATTAAGTTTACCATTTGCAAACTATCGCTAATTAATATTTGCAATTTGCATAAATTAAAAAAATTTTTTCGTTTAATATTATAGCATATCGATAACAATTAATTAAAATTACATTATCGAAACTAGTACTCCAAAATATACATAAGACATTTAATTAAGGTAATAAGAATATTTCTATATAAAAAATAAGTAAATTTTAACAAAAAAAAATCAAAATAAAAGATCAAATTTCGTAAATCTTCAAGTAAGGTCATAGTTGCATTTCTTTGTTTGATATTGCTGCATATTAAATTCATATAAAAATATTGTTTTCTTATTAATAGACGTGTCTCGAATGTACAGTCTGTGCAATTGAGCTCGCCAATTCCGTGAAAGAATCATCATGGGACGATCGAGAGACACAGGTGCGGTGGGAAACAATAAATTCCGATGCCAAGGAGCCAAATGCGGAAATAGCTAAAAAAATAATTGAGCCTGTTAACGAGCCGAAACATGAAATCGTTCCTGGTACGACGAAGTGCATCCAAGTGTTACTTAATGCCATCGTAGCATTCTCCAAATATTCTTGCTCCGTTAAAGAGATCAATTTCAAGAACACACTAATGTTTCAGGTTGTATACTACAATTACGAATTTTATATCTTACGTTCAAATGTTAAATTAGACCATTACTACGGTATAATGGATTTTGCTATAACTATATCGATAATAATTTATATTTAAATGAATTTCGAAATACGGCACAGAAATTTGTTTTATTTAACATACAAATGTAAAATATTTCTTCAAAGTTTGCAGAAATTTGTAAAAATTATTTATAGATATTTGTAATGTTTTTATTAAGATAAAGCGAGGCTGTTTTGTTCATTTCTTACAATATTGTTTATGTTTCTAAGCAGTGTATACTGAACATTTAAAGGTCATGCTTGTACTTTCAAGAAGCAATCATGATAGTATAAGATAATTATAAGCACGTCACTGCAAAAAGATATTGTTTGTTGCTGTAAATTTTATATTATTTTAAGCTTGAAAATGATGGAATAATCCCGCTCTACTCTTTCAATTTTCTCAATCTGCGATAGTTTCTTGTATTCCGTAGTATATATAATATGATTATCAATTTCTTTTTTACAGCTGAAACACTCAGCTAATTATTTGATTTAATCGGAGTGAAAAATATAGATTAGAAATAATTTTCGTTCGTGTCGGGTTTAAATATTTGTTTGTAATATCGCGGATATTTTCTAAATTGACGCATTTGTAAACAAATCACATGAACGTCATGAAATTTGATAAAATGCAACCGTATCGCTGTTTCATATCTGATCCAATTCCGACTTGTTTGCGCGAAAAATAAAAAAAAATCAAACTTCCACGGACAGTGGAAATTTTACTTTTGTGTACTACTCAGGTAAAATCGATAATATATTAACCTTTCGGATGGTAAAAATTGATTCTCTCGGCTTTCAATATTTTCTCTCTGCATTATGTATTAGTTGTAGCATGTATCAATCTCGACATATTTTTGAAAAAATATTTAAATATCTGTAGTTAAAACAGATATTATCATACTTGTATTATTTGCACAACACTGCTCATTAAATTAAAAAAGCTCAAAATAAAAATAACGTCCATTAAAATGCAATCAAAATGTAACAGTGTACCAAATTATTATAAGTATACCAGAAATCTCTCTCTCTCTCTCTCTCTCTCTCTCCCCCCCCCCCCCTCTTTCTGTAGAATTGCAAAAATAATATAGGCTATAGTAAATAATACTTTTATTTTTTCTTTGTTTTATTTAGCTTTAAATAATTTATAACATTTATTAATGTTTAATCGTATATAATTGTGATTATTTATGGTAACCTATTTTTGTATTTTGTTCATATTAATTTTAATTACTATATTTATTTTTCTTATTTCTTTTATGTTATATTTAATTTTATTTTTTTTTGTATAAAATGTCAGTTATTCTCTTTTTCGAAATAAATTTATTCATCACACAATTATGGTTATCTGCTTACATCTACATCTGTAAAGTTACATAAAGTAATTTTAATAATTTATTTATTCGCATTTTTTCAAACATTGTCAAAATTTTTTATATATTTTTATAAAAAATAGAATTTAATCTAAATAAAACTTAACAAGAATAAAATTTATAATATTATATTCCCACAAACAAATTGAAATAAATTAAATGTTTATTTAAACTTTCTTATTTTTGTGTCAAATACTACGAAATAGAGTCCTATAGATTTATCAGAGAAGCGCGACTCTTGTTAAGTGCCCTGATTAGCGTGATTGGCAGCCAATTATGAGATTCATCCATTGTTATTCTAGGATTCTAATACGAAGAAGAAGCCTATCACGGTCAAAGTTAGATGTTTCGAACAATATAATGTAATATATTCAATACAATATATTCAGTACAATATAATATATTCTTTTAGAATCAATTTTATTTCAAATAAGATTGAGCGCCGATAACTTTCGGATTTTTAACACAATTAATTTGAAATGTTATTAATCCCCCCTAAATTAAATTTAAAAAACTGTAAAAAACTTATTGCGAAAAATATTATCTCAGCCAGGGTTTGAACCTGGGACCTCTCGACTTTCCGCGAGGTGAGGGTCTCTGTTTCAAATTTACTGCTTTAAAAACACAAATTCACTGCTTTAAAAATACAAATTTATTACTAATACTATATAAAAAATTTGTGTGCTTAAAACAGTGAATTTTTATTTTTAAAACAGTAAATTTGTATTTTTAAAGCAATGAATTTGTGTTTTTAAAGTAGTGAATTTGTAAAATTAAAGCAGAATGCATACGTAGAGCTATATCGAGTCGGGATGACAGATATTATAACCTTTAATGTCTCGAACTTTAATGCTTAATAACTCAATTCATGAGGCCGATCACCGCGTTTTTGTTTTGCCAGATTCTTTCGTTTTGAATGAAAAGGCGTCTAATGAATACATTTTTATTAAGATTCTTAGGGAGGGATCCATATTCTAAATAATTACCTAAAACAATATATATTGTATTATTCGAAATATTTAACTTTGACCGTGATAGGCGATGTTAATCTTCGCATTTGATATATTCACATATATGATACATATATCGTTCTAAAGTCTTAATAGTGTTTCTTGTTTTACATAAATTTATTACGATAAATAATTTCATGGAAAAAACACATGGAAATATTTCGTATTTTGTGTTCATGGCAGCATATAAAATTTTGTATTTCAGTTTTAGTAACAATGAAAAATTGAAAGTATTTCATATTTTGTATTTCATTATTAATAATGATGTCAAAGTATTTTTTATTTTGTATTTCAAATACTGATTGACAATCAATCTTATTATTTAAATTACAAAAGTTACGTTGTGTAATGTTTCTGAGAAGTCTCTATAAGATTGCGGCAACGTCAAAATGTCCGTTTCTGTCTGCAAGAAACGTTTCTGAAATATTATGGAAACATTTGTAAAATCTTTCGGTGATGTTGGTGCAACGTTCTCTTTAGTTTCATTTGCAACATTCCAGAAATGTAAAAAAAATGTAAATATGGAGGCAGAGCTAGACAAAATATCTAGACAAATATTTAAGTATTTAAAATATAAAATACTGTCAATCTTAATATTTTAAAAAGTACAAAATATTTTCTTTTGACTTGAAATACAAATTATTTCGAATATCAAAAGACTGAAAGTCATTTGTACTTTATAATTCAAATATTAATTAATATAATTGATTATATTTAGCATTTTGTACTTATTTTAATGACATATTTTGCCCAGCCTCGTCGCGCGCGCGAATAAATATTGTTAATAAAAAAGCAAATGCTTTATTAAATTGCAATATTCTTATTCTTATGTTATTAAGCCACAATAGATTTATTTGAATAATATATATTATTAAATCGCATCCAGGACACACAAAAGTACAATGATATCACAAGGATATCATCATGACTTTATTTGTCATTTAAAAGTTACTGATAAAAAAATGATCTAAAAATGAAAAATGAAATCGCAGGTTATATCATAAATAAAAGCGTTTAAGTCCCAAAATATTTATATCGTTTTAATATATTGGAATAATGAAAACAGTAAAGGATGCACTTATAAATAATAATTAAAATATGTGATCTCATTGTGACAGATTCTTGAGATTTCAAAATACATGTTATAATATATGCACAGCAAGCTCTGACGCGCACTAGTAAAGCTCGTTAATAGCACGTTCCGCCAGCCGCCATTTCCGCAATACTGTAGCTGACTCTAGCACGTAGTGGACTTGCACGAATTGTCCCTGATATTTCAAATACAACACAAAAGCAGTTGTAAGTTTGAAGTTTGCAAAATTTGTATCATGCAATTCAGTAATAATAATAATAAGGTAAATTATAATATTTATACTTTTGTCCGAATATATATGTTAGGTTAGATTAGATTATCAATCTAATCATCTTTTGTTCTGAAAGTCTCATATATATTATAAATAATGTTTTTTTAAGCTATAAATGTTTAGATATAAAAATTAATAATTAGGCTCAATTGAATTAAACAATAGTAAGAGATAAAAAGAGTTAAAAGCCACCGCTTCTTAATTGCTAATATTTAATGTTTTATAAAATATAATATTTAACAAACGTTTCCTTACATTAAGACTTTTGCAATGTTAAATATATAAACAAATCTAACATTACATGCTACATCTAAACATCCCTACTTTACATCATACGTCAAATCTTATACGCTTTAATTAAAAATTCGCTCTCTAAGTATGTAGTGACAATAATTTCCATGTTTCCTTCTGATAAATTGATTGCACAGCAACTTATACAATAATTTGGTATCTTGCGATACAGTTCTTGTTTTCATCTGTCTTTTTTTAAGATGGCTTATTTTGTTAAATTAATGAAAGTTGATGAACAGATTGATGAATATGCAGCTGTTGGCCGTTTATTACCAAAGTAATATCAAAATTGGCTCGGATGATTAATTATTCAGAATCAGGTGACAAATGTTTGCTTATTAATTTTATTTTCTTATTTTTTATTTTTATTTTATAAGTGTTGTTTTAAACGCATTTCCAAAGAGCAATTTAACAAAAACGGAAAAAAAATTCCAATGATTGTTTTATATCAATAATCAGCAAAAAGTTTAAATTAATTGGTATTTCTGAGACTATCTTCTTTGAAATATTACAATTGTAATATTTCAAAGAAGATAGTCTCAGAAATACAAATGTGATACACAATTGAGACATTAGAAGATTCCTGCAACATAACTTTCTATGTTATCAGGGAATGTATAACAAGATATCTGCATATTTAAGTATATTTACGCCGTAAAATAACTTATGCAGCTACTTTCTTTTTTTATGATAAAGAACATAAGGATGGAATAATTGGCTCGCCAAAGTTGCAACACCAAGTGGGACACACTTATGCACAAAAACGACAATTTAACTGAAGTATCTAAACATTTGGCTGAAAACAGATCTGAAAATAATTTTGTAGGACTAATAAAATCCAAATAATTAAATAAGAATCTTAAACTTGATAAACATAAATATTGTAAAAAGTTTTGACATTCTAGTAACTAATCTGAGTATTCTCCGTAATTATTTTAGTCTAATATAATTATTTTCAGATCTGTATTTAGCTAAATTTTTAGAAATTTCATGAGATTATGTTAAATTTAATTTACGTGTACCAAACGATCCAAATTTTTTGTATTAATTTAACAAGATACATGTATATAAAATATACAATATGTATAACACATATTATTTTAAAAATTAACACAGAAAATGTAATACTGATATGTATGAATATAATTGGAAAACAAATTGTACAAATATATTTCTCTGCAAAATTAACGTTTATAGCATGTTTAATTAACACATTTTAATGAAATTAACATTTACTATATATAAAATTAACACATTTTATTAGTATTATATTTATTTTAGAATTTTTAATGTACGTTATTTTTATGTTATTATGTTGTTCACTTACTCATAAACTAAGAAATGTTGAATATCAATTTAAACAAAATATTTACATAACAGAATCATATAAATCGAATACTCGAATATGTTACAAATTTTTAACACAAAGTTTTAACAAGAATTGACTTTAATATAAATACAAAATATTTTTACTATACATATAGATATAACGTTAACGTATAAAGAAACAAATAGCGTTTGCGCAAATTTTTTTTTACTTTTACAATTTTTAAAATATGACGAAATGTAATTAACCATTCTTTGTCGACAGACTAGCGAACACTCGTTCATTTTTGCAAACACTGGTGCTGTCGACGTCGAATATACATGGCAGATAAATATGGACGAGCAATATCCGGTGAGATCGATCGCAAATTATTCACAAGCCACATCAAGATCACAAAAGGACAATGTTCAATTTAAAGCTACTTCATTAATGTCTCACGAACTATCTCATCAACGAGACAATCCAAGTTTCGACAAGAGCGTAAAATCAAATCGTCGACAGCTTCTGTCGTCTCGAGGTAACTCAATTTCCGTACTGATTTATGAGAAAGAAAATCGGATCTTATCCGAATCATTAAAAAATAAATAATCTACAGATAATTTTGTCGAGGTGAAACCAACTGTTCGCTGTAGTCCATCCGATCTCTTCAGCAGCACTGCCGGATTGACAGAACGAACTAGCGATAGCTGGTTAGAAAGTGATGATTTACCATTTGAAATTTATCCCGAGAAGGGAATTTTATCCCCGGGTGAATCTGTGGAATGCGTCTTGAGATTCTCTCCCATGGATGTGTTTGATTACAAAGCGTATCTTACATGCAAGTACGATTACAATTTGTTTATTTAATTTAATTTAATCATTTGATTTGATTTAATTAGTATTATAACATAATAGAACTTGTTCTAACTTGGCTCTGTAGGAAACAAAGGGGCAAGATAAGGATGAGCTATATGCGTATCGATACACTAAAAATTGTTTGAAAAAATTTAGAAATTGGTTATAAATCGTCTTCGAGACTATTTTAAACTGACTTTTTGTAAAAAAAATCTTTTCTTTTTTACCTAATATCTCGTAAACTATTGGTTTTTTTATATTACCACCTTAATATTTTTATATGTAGTATAATTAGCAAAATTATATTGTTTAAAGAAAATCATACAATTCCATTTAAAAAAGATGTAACCTTCATATCTTTTTGACGCCTCCATCTAAAAAAAAACCAACATGAGCAAAATTTCGAAACTCTTCCACTTTCATTTGAAACATTTTTTTATATCATCAAAAGTAAGTGAGATAGTTGATTTAAGTGGACTACCCTGTATATGTGTAAAGGAGATATGTATACTGCTATTGGCCGTAACAATATATAACAACGTAACAATAGAATAAACCGGGGCACTATGGGTCACGGAGTACCAAGAGTCATCGATTGTTTAACATAATTTAAATTAATACTACTCTGGTACAATACGACTGTTATTTCGTTGCACATACTTTTTAGGTGGCAGTGATTAAATTTCATTGCATCGATCATTAATGGTTTTCGTGGTGCAACAATAACTTTTTACCGCACAAAAATATTTTAATATTGTTTTTGTAATAAGAGATACATGTATGAAGATAAAGTGCAAGTTTCTGTGCATCTTTTCTCAATTTACTGTATTACATACAAGTAATAATCTAACATTTATTTGTTACAATTTTTTTCTATTAAATGTATAATTAAATGTATAATTGAGGTACCATTGGTCATACATTAAATATTCATGATGAAACAGGACAATACAGAAAATATATGTACTAAAAGGGCAATTTATATTTCTAAGCAATTAATTTCATTTTATCGTAACAAATTTTTTATTTTATATTAATGGTTATTTTTCATTTGTTTTCCTATAACTTTCTATATATATATTTTATTATTTAATAATTATTAATTGTAATTATATTTATTTTATTGTATTAGTGACTATGCTAAGAATACAGGATTGGCCATATTCGACGGAAAGATCTGGCAACACTGTAACTTTTGACAGAGATGTTAGATCGAGTAACGACGTTTCCCATGATTGAAAAAAAAAACATCTTTCCGTCGAATATGGTCAACCCTGTATACAAATTAATTGAAAATATTTTCCAACTTTCGTCACTGTTATTTCTTGCATAATCCTACTATTTTGTGTGATTTATGGTATGAAGCACCATAAATTATTTCTTAAAAAATGTTTTATTTTTTTCTTAAAAACTTATTAAATATTTACTAAGTATACTTATTAAATTTTAAAAATACTTTAATTATTAAAAAAAAATGCTACAAAAATTTTTATATTTAGATACATTTTTAAGAGTTTGAATTATTGTGACTCATGGTGCCCCGGTCTCCCTTATACATAAATAATATAAACATTATGTTAATACTGGAATAGGGTAACTGTTTCTATTAATGTGTCTTTTAGCCAATGTGCTTATTACTGAATTAATTGTTAAATATTGTAGCTTTAATTTTATCTGCTTGCAATTAATATCCGGTTTTCCAACTATTTCTTTTTTTTATAATATTTCTTTAATCTAAAAAATATTAATATTTCATAATATTTTTGACAAAAATAAAAAACATGTTTTTGTCCCTATTAGTGAGTCCTCTAGGCGGCGATGGTCCTATTAATGTGCCCCAAATTTGTATACCTATTCGCATTTGACTCATTTTAACATATAGTTACTAAAACAGGTAATAAATTTAAGCTAATTTAAGCTAGTTTAAGTTAATATTACATAAATCATTATTTCAATTATATTTATTAATATTAATGTACACTTATAATACAACGTGTTAATGTACACTTATAATACAACGTTCTCAGCTCCAATACAGAGCACATTAATAGAGACAATTTAAAGTGGTACGTATTACTGATTCCAGGGCTCGGTAATAAAATAACTGATGATTTATTTAAAATAAAAAATATAAAATAAGTTTCAGAAACTTATTTAAAATATAAAATCGTAGGAGTCGATAAAATCATTGATACGACTTATTTGAAATAAGAAATATAAAATAGAGAGAGAGAGATTCCAAAAACTTATTTAAAATATTAAATAAAAAATAAGTCACAAAAAGTTATTTAAAATATAAAATAAGAAATAGGGCCCTAAAATGCATTTATTTATTTAAAATAAAGAATAACTTTTATTTAAAATATAAAAATAACTTGTCTTTTTAAATAAATTTTTGAAGGCTATTTCTTATTTTAAATAAAAAATAGATTTCGAAAAATTTGCCTAAAATGTATAAGGAATATGTATTTTAAATAAACATTTCAAATAAAAAATATTTTAATAATTTTGTTTATTTGAATGTACAAATGTATATTTCTAAATATAACGTGCCAGTTTTTTTTATAGCTATAACCTATAATTAATACTTAATAATATTAACTCTTTGCGAACCAAGTGGAAACTCAACATGGATATGTGGGTATATTTCATACGCCACGCTATACTTCATAAATACTATAATTTAATTACTCACCGTTACCGGATCGATAACATAACTGATACAATTTATTTAAAATAAAAAATATAAAATAAGTTCTAAAAGCTTATTTAAGATCTTATATTAAATAAGAAATAGGTCAAAAGAAGTTATTTTAAATAACTGTTTAATTTTTTCTTTATTTAAAATATATATTTTTAATAAATTTATTTGAATAAGATCGAGTCCTACTGGATTCACATAAATTCCTCATATCTTTCGAAAAATATTTAAAATACTTACACTTAAAAAATAAAATATTACATTCGGTATCGTATACATTAATAATTAACTTAAAAAAAATTTTTTTTTTTATTTATTCGTGCTAACTTTCTTTATGATTTATCGAAAAGCACATTAATAGGGACAGACACAATAATTGAGACAGTTATTATGTGTTAAAAAGTTCAACACAAACGATTAACAAGAATGTGAGTGGACATTGTTGTTTTAAATACAAATACACAACGTTTTTTATTGTGTATATATAATGTCTCTCTTGCTATGAATTTTACATATACATTTTAGAATCATGTATTTGAGCAAATTAACCGTTTAGTGCATAGTATAAATGTTTGAAGCGTTTTTATGCTCGGTAGGCACAAGGTCCACAGAAAGTGCGTTACTAGAAGGGAGGGGAGGGGGGGGGGAGAATATCCGTGTTTATTGGATATAAAGTACTCCACGCCCCTTCTGCCCTTCTATTCTTCTTAAAGCTCTCGAGTTAAGACCGTCCTCTCCCTTATTAATTAGATATTCTATTCGGTTGTTTTATTTAATATTTAACGTATATCTAGATCTTTTAATATAATTATTTTATATTAATATACAAATGGGATAGTGCGCGCGCCGGATATTCTTATTTCATCTATCGAACATATTTCAATAATAAAGATATTTCCAAAAATCAAAATAAATATATCCAAATCTTTTTTATTATAAATAAATCCTTTAATATGCATAATTATTTATTGAATATAAATAAGATAGTACTCATACAGATATCAAATATATATTCTTGTCTCTATCGAATATGTTTCAATAATAAAGATATTTTCAAAAATCGAAATAAAAGAAATATATAGCTACAACTTACTGGTAGAGTCACGATGTGAGATATCTTTATCCGTTTATTCAACGGGAGAGATTTATTGTATCCATAAATTCTTGGCATTGCCTGTATACGCGCGTTTCCGTTTGTCCGGTGAACAGAATGGAGAATCTCGAGCTACCAGAGTTGATTATTCCTATCGTGGGAAGAAGTTTGTTGCCATACTGCCACTTCGACATACCGGAAAGCGACTATCTGTCCAGCGATAGACGTGACATGAAACTGCCTGGACCCATTGGTTATCAACCGGATGATAATTCTCTTCCGGAGGGCACGAGAGTGATTGAGCTCGAAGTGATCGGAATCAGCGGGTCTCACATAAAGTAAATATATGCTCGTTTTTCAGCAAGAACACAATGTAACACAGTGAATTATTATATCCTTATTGTACATTAATATTAAACAAGATGGAATAATTCACTGAATTACACTGTGTTTTTGTTGAAAAATGTTCTACGTCTAATCAAAGAAGCACAAATACAAATGCGTTATCACAAATTTCAGAAAATTCCGAATGATAAATCCGACATCAGATGATTATCATTTCATTTGGGAGGATCGTACTCGTCACGTCGAAGACGAGATTTCAAAATTTCATTGTGCACTTCCGGAAGGAATCGCTGAACGAGGAAAACAAGTCGACTTCGCGTTTACCTTCCTCGCGGAAAATATCGGCACTTTCGAATCCTTTTGGTTGTTCCGTGTTGAAAAATACAATCTGGAGTATCTCTTTCTATTTGTCGCGACGGTCAGAGAACCATCGGTTTGCTGTTCTCGTGTCCATTTAAAAATGAGACCAACCGTAATGGGTTAGATGAAGATACTAATAGAAAAATATACTTTCTAAATTCTTTGAAGTGGAATCTTATTTATTTTGAAAAAGAATGACTTAATTTTCAATCTTTAAGAGTAATATTTTATTTCTCAGAGTGAGATTCACTTCAAAAGTTTTAGGGAGTACAAGTTATACAATTATTATATATTAATATTTGTATTTTCTACAGGCATCAATGTGCGAGAATCGATAAGCATAATCAATAAAGAAGAATTTCAGATTCCCTTTCAGATCACGCGGGATTCTTTATATTCTGAAGGACGTCTTCAATATTTGAAAATAACGCCTATAAATGGCACTTTGCCTGCAAAAGGCGAACAAATATTTTGGTAAACATAGAACAAGGAAGAATTCTGAACATAAATTTTTTAAACATTAATTAAATATTTATTTATGTAGGGTCGAATATCAGCCTACACTTGTTGGCGAATTTCAATTTTCTGTAAAATGCATTATAAAAAGAATGAAAGCACCATTGACTATATTTGTTACGACGACAACATACGATATTATTGTTTCGGTTACATATGTCGATCAGAACCGCCAGATAGTTCAATTAAATCAAGATAAAGAGAATATTATCGACTGTGGAAAAGTGCGTGTATAATAATTTGTTTTAACATTAAAAATAAATTTTGACAATATTAAGCATTTTTAATTTTTAGTTATTGTTAAAAGCGCCCGTTACTGTCGTGTTTGAAATAATAAACTCAAGCAAAATGACGTTTTATTATTCTTGGGATCTTGGAATGACATCAGAAATAATTAGCAGAAATATGTACACGATTGCAATGCCTCAAAAGCAGGACCATGTGCTTAGCAAGTCGCGTTCCATCTGTTCTCTTATTGTTACAGCATTACAAAAGACGGTGATAAAGAATCATCCTATTCTCTTAAAGGTAGATTATCGTTTAGATATCATATTGCCATATGTTTTATGAGAAATATAAATGTAAACTTTGCAAATCTGTGTCCCTTTTCTTTATTCAGATTTCCAGAGGGCCAACCTACCGACTAATCTTAAAAGCGACGGCAAACAAACCAATTTTAGAGTTTAGTTTTAATTATTACGACTTTGGACCTTGCTACATTCGAGATGTTTCTACGATTCCTTATCGCGTCGATTTACGCATTACGAATTCAGATGATGTTTCGTACATGTAAGCTGATTTAACGTACTTACAGAAAATTGAGACATTAATTTTCTATCGAAACATTCATTTTCTCAGACTGGAGTGCAAGTTTGAAGAGAAGCCACACATCTCTGTAAATCTGGACGCTCTTTCAGAGACAATAGTAGCTCGATCAAGTATTATCATTCCAATAACATTTCGACCTTTAGAACAGGTGCACTATCGCGATGACTTACATTTTATAATCAATTCGACGATCGAAAAAAAGATTACTGTAACTGGCGAAGGAATTATATATAAGGTAATGACACTCATAAATATATGCATTAAAAATTAATTCAACATATAGCTTATGTCATTCGTAACAACTCATTAAATATTTGATGTCATCATAGTCAATGCAAAAACTTATTGTAAATTTTATACTCGCAGAATTATTTTTACTTGTATCCTGTTATGACAGATTCGTTTAGTAAATCCACGCGACAAATCGGTGGATCTTGGTAGTCTACCACTTAACAAAACAACAAGTAGAAAAGTGCCAGTGATCAACGATGGACGTGCTGCGCTCGAATTAAAGTTCGATCTCATGAAAAATCTACCTGGATATGATTTATTTCACGAAAGAGTTCAAAATTGTTCGTTGATCGATCAGGAGAACTCCAAAATGAATCACACTCAAGCTTCGATAACTGAAACGAAACGTTCGAATGTCTTTGATGAAACTCTTCAGACGGAACCTAATCTGTCTCAAGTTCTGGAGATCGAGCCGGCAGAATCGATCGTACTTCAGCCAGGGAAAATCGCGAATATTGTCGTAAAATACAAACCTATTCACAGGATGCATCCTTTTGTCATTAAGGTGGCTTTTCAAACGAATTCTACGATCCAACCGTTATTTATCTTGCGCGGAAGCTGTATAGGCGCGGAATTCCATTTGAACAGGACTTATGTGCCTTTTGGTATCGTTGTTCAAGGTTGTCTCAGCGAAGCAAAGATAGTGCTATTGAATACGGGAGATATTGGTGCCAGGTTGGTGCAAAAAATAAAAAATAAATAATGAATAAGACTTTATATTAATCTAAAAAATCAGAAGATTTTAAAATATCTTTTGAAGTTACATAAAGTTCTTAAAAATATGTTCTTTTTTTTAAACAAACGATTTAAGCGTCCTTTATTAGTCAAAGTTACATCATTAATGCTTAAATAATTCAATGTGAATCATATATATATATATATATATATATACATATATATATGTATATACTATACATATATGTACATGCACATATCCCGGCCGAGATAATATTCACAATAAATTTATTTTCAGTTTTTCAGCAAATTAATCTTTCCAATATGTCTGATTGAGCATCGAATAATTATTAAAAATTGCTCATCAATTTAATTTAATTCGTGATTTTATTACAGTAGTTTAATTGCGTTTATATATAAGTCCAAAAAATCAATTCGGTGTGCAGTTCAAATGACTACAAATATGATATATGTTTATGCATGTATGTGTATATATAGTATATATATGATTCACATCGAATTATTCAAGCATTAAAGATCTAGTTTCAATCAGTATTCAAGTTTATCGATTCTCACATTTATGGTCTAAAATAATATTTTTATTATATAAGCGTTCTTTATTTTTTATAATGTTCTTTTCTTCGGTATTTAAAAGGGAATTCTTGTTATTATGTAATTCACATTATTATGTTTTCATTAGTTTAACATTAACAACGGCATATGATGATGTATCAATCTCCAGATTCAAGTGGAACACGTTGAAATTGCCCGAAGACTTTAACATCACTCCTGCAACTGGCTATTGCTCTCCTGGTATGGACATCAACTTCGTTGTCAGTTTCCAACCTATTCGACATGATAGTTTGATCGAGGGCAATGTGAGCGTATACAACTTCTATCTTTATACTTGTGCACACAAAATACTTGATCTTCGACGAGAACTTCGTTCCTTACTCTTACAATATATGAGCAAACATAAAAGCAGTTTAAGCAATACATTGTGCTTCTTGCTATATTTCTACATCATATTTAACTTTCTGAAAGAACTTTTCCCCTCAGAACTTAAGAATAACAGGACTCTCATGTATGTGCTTGACATATATTTTAGAGTCCTTGTCATATTTATTTAAAAAATTGTCTTAATATTAGTTTCGGTAAAATAACAGTATAATTGTTATTTTAAAAAGATCTCTAATATACAAATTCTATCATAACTTATATTATTGTAAGTCTGATATTAATTTTAAACATGTAACAAATAATTGAAATTGTAATTGAGCATACGAGATATAATCTTTTGATAAAAGATATAGTTTATTTTATTCTCAGGCAACGCTTGAAATTGAAAAATATAAAAATCTCGACTTAAGAATTACTGGAGCTAGCTGCAAACTGCCTGATCCGATCGACACTCTGTTCTTCTCGTGTCGCGTTCGCGAGAAAATAATGAGGTCTCTGAACGTCGAAAACGATATCGTAACTTTGAAACCGGAGGTCACCGGCGAATATTTTTTTATCGACGAGGTCTCATACGATCCTTTGAAAAAATCTGCTACCTGTACAGTCATCTATGCCCCTCTAGTCATGAATAGCGAGAGCAATCTTCACGAAGTAATTAAAACAGAACTTGGTTAATTCTTATAATCATATAATAACAATAAAATAATCATATAATAACATAGAACATTTATAATTTTTACGTAAAAGTAACAGATCGAGAAACGTAATATTTCCATAAACTATTTCAGGGTACATTGCTTCTAAAACTGCCGGATGACAAAGCTCCTTTAGTGTACTGTCTTCGAGGGCTTAGTCTACCTCCACAAGTTCTCCAAAGGATTACACGTCAATTTCCGGCAAAAACAAAATACACTGAATTGTTACCTGTTTACAATTGGCTCAATAGGCAACAACGATTCGAATGCCAAATTGAGAATGTGAACGGCAAAGAGCCCGCCGAGGTTTAAAAGATTTACGAGAGATTACAGGAGAACTGTGAAATAATTCTAAAATTTTTTTCTTAATTTGCTTTTTAGAATGTCGAAATGTTCACTTTTGTCGGCAACAGCAAGATAGACGTTCCAGCAAACGGCCAACGAGATTATCGCGCAGAGTTTTATTCCTACAAAGAATCAAAATATAATTTTATGGTATTTTATATTGGTAAATTATTGTCGGAAAATGACGTAAAAATTTTTTTTTCAATTTTAACGGACAGGGCTTTCAAAATAACAATTTTATAACTATTTCTAACCGTGTTTTCAGTGTAAAATTATATTTTGCAAAATAATTAGAACTACGCGTATGCATAGGTAACGTTTACTAACGAAGAGGGCGAATATCAATTTTACGAACTTCAGTATGATATTACAAGACCACAAGAGATCGAATCGATCAAACTGATCACTGTGGTACGATCTCCGGTGTGCCATGCTTTAAAACTTAATAATCCACTTAAGAAGCAGCACGTAACATATATGGCAACATGTCAGCATCCCTACATCACAATTCATAACGTACCAACGCTTGTAGCGCCATTATGCAGCGTTAGTTGAATTTTGTTTATAATAATACATTGCAATCAAATAGATACAGTTAAAAACATATTTTTGGTCGAAAAGAATTTTAAAAAGAATGCTTAATAATATTTATATGTAAATTTGCTTAATATTCATGTAAAATTTACGAATACATTTTTAAAGCCTACAAATTATGCACCAATTCTATTTGTGTGATTTTAAACGCGATTAAAATTGAAAATAATATTAATCATAAATTATTGATAAATTTAATAATGATTATCAAATTAATTTAATTTGATTTCATTTAATAATGATTATGAAATTATTGAGTATCAAGATTAACTTTGATAAAAAATAAGATTCTTTCTTTTATTTGATTTATCTTTATCAGTCAGATTTTTACTTAAATAATTTTTACTTAATTATTAATATGCTGCAAGTTAAAAATAAATTCAATTTTTCTGAAAGTATATTAAAATATTAATCCTTTGCGGTCCAAATTTATTTGCAAATAAACGAAAATCGAATATTTCAGTTTTATCTAATTGGATAGTCTAACATAAATTAAAGAATTTTTATTACTCAGAGGAATTTTATAAAAATTTCAAAAATATCATTTATCGATTATAATCATTCGAATGCTTGAAGAATTATGCAATAGGCTACTGCATTGTATAAAAGAACCGTAAAGAGTTAATAATTAAGGAATTATATTCGCAATTTATAAACGAAATAAATTTAATGGTGATCAACAAACAATAACGGTGACAGTAACGATCTCTGTGAATATAATAGGAAATTATCAAAATCAAATACCACCCTTTACATTCCGCCGAGGAAATTACGGTAGCCTTGGACATCAACTGCGAGGAACTCGGATTGTTTCCCTACGAGTTACGATTGCGAGCGATATCAGCATCACCAGAGAAAACGACGCGCGTTGATGCGATGCTTGGTAGTTCTGTCACCTTTTCCCTGAACGTAATCAATCATGCCGAGAACACTACAATATTCACTATCAAAGTGAGCATAAACCTGTGTTTCTTCTTCTTTTGCTACGACTATCGATGGAAAAGTCTTCTTCTCCTCTATATTCCAGGTGAATAATGAATGCTTTACGACTTCGAAGGACATCGAGGTGTCGGCGTTGAAAAGTACATCATTCGACGTAACTTACGAACCCTGCGACATCGAAAATGTCTCTGCTACTTTGACAGCCACATCTGAGATTGCCGGCCAATTTGTGTATGATAATTCGCAATTAAAATTAATCCTTTACGATTATTTTATGTCGAATTAGATTCAACGTTATATGTTACTAGTTTAGTAGTTTATAGCATATAAAACTTTTAGTCATAATCTGTACGCAATTAAAATCGGTAACTATTGGATCAGTGCAAAAGTTCGAGCCCGATTTATTGTTCAAAGTTCAAACAGTTGCAATTTTGTTAAAAATAAACGAAATTTAAATTTAAAAAGGGATTTTAAAGCTTAAAATCTCTACTTTCGAATGGTTACTATATTTTCTAAGTTTCATGTGAGTTTTGTAATTTTGATATATAGAAAACTATAAGCTGAAAAAAATGAAAAATTTTCACTTTGTAGGTCTGTAGCGTGCCCAAAAAAATTTGAGAAAATTTTCAACTTTATCGTAAAAGCTTGAAGCTATTCCCTACAAAATCATTTTTTAAAAATGTTCCTATGATTTTTTGTTACTGAGTTGTTGCAAATAAAATAAAATAAATATTTTTATTTTGATTGCTCATAACTCTATCAAAACCATCACAATTTAAAAAAATAGATTCTTAAATTCTCTTATCAGATAGAGATTAGAAGATATATATATTTTTGAAATAATGAAGAGAAATTTTTTTATTCATGTTAGATTAACTGATTGTATGAAATTGAAAACAAAATACTGGTTGATTTTTTTATTCATTTGAGATAATTTAGATATCAAAGGATTAACCTGTCGTGCTGATTGCTGCGTTATTAAATAAGCCAAATATACAGAATGTGTTTTGTCTAAATTGTTTACAGATTTCCTCTCATTGGTACGTATTCGTTGCCGAAACCTCAAGGGCCATATACAGTTGCTACCAATGCACCGGCTTCTATACCCTTCAAGAATATATTTAGAGAAACCAAATCTTTTGAGCTTATCTTGGACGATCCCGAAGTTTTCGTAACATCGACGTCGTTGGACAAAATTAAACAAAAACAGGTAATTCTATTAATTTTATAATTATCTTTTTTTAATCCTCACCATGTATACGTTTTTTTAATACCATTAAGCATATACATAACATATATGATGAATTTGTATATTTTTAATAACGGAAAGCAATGTTTTATAAGATTTGTTAATTACAGCAGATCTCTCTAGCAAAAATAAAAATCGAAGCGTAAATCGATATAAGGGTAGATTTAGACCTTGGATAATTTCGTTTCACGCATGATGCGCATAATACATCATTTATCTTTGTTGTTCACCAAATGTTAAACAAGGATAAATGATGGCATACTTTGTGCACATCATGCGTGAAACAGAATTCACCCCTTGACAGAAAAGTAGAAAGCAGAAAAGCAGCAACTAATCAGAACTCACATTGGTAGTAAGCAGAGTATAGAATGCCACTAGCTGCGTTCAGTAGAGAAAACTAATCAGTTAGTGCTTAGTGGTTCCTTAATACGGTTGATTCCTACACTTAAATTTAACGAAGAACTAAAGGCAAGGACCATATTAAAGAATCACTAAACGCTAACTGATCAATTTTCTCTGTTGAACGCATTGTCGATTACCAGCCGAGTTGTGATTGACTGCTGCTTTTCTGCTTTCTGCTTTTCTGTCAAGGTCTGTTTTTCTTTTATAAAGTGAACATGCTAATATTACATAAGGCTAATATTACATTCATCTGTTTTTTTATATGTAATCCGTTTTTTTGTATGTACAACAAGCTTTTCAAGCCTTTTGATTGGTTGTAGAGCAAAGAAGTTCTCGGATCTCTTTATCTTACAGCCAATTAATGTAAGTTTGAAAAATTTGTCCTACGACAAATGTAATAACAGTCTAAAGGTATAGCAACAGAAGCGTAAACGAAGCTTCTGGAAAGCGAAAGTTGAGACAATAAAATGTAAAAAGGCATTTACTTTTTAATTTTTGTCTCTTAAAAACTTTGTTTATGGTTCTATCACTCTTCCTTTATATTCGACTTATGCTGTTATCTTTATTTTTGCCAGGATAAAGTGTTTAATAAAACAATTTATTAATTATTACAACATTAATATAAATCAATATAAATTTAAAAAATAATATAAATTATGTAAATTATATAATTAATATAAATTAATATAAATCAATATTATAAGGCGATCTCTATTGTCGTTCACCTAAAAGATAATGGAAAAAGAGAAATGGAAGATAATTATCCAGTAACCGGAAAACTTCTAGTGTACTGCACAGATCCCAAGATTTCTCACATAAATTGGATTTATTATTTGAGAGGTATATACGCAAACAATAAATGAGTAACATGTTAATATCTAACGAGATAAGTATCGCATCACAATTTATCACATTTTTTCTTTGTGATATAAAATATTGTATTTGATTACGAATAATAATTATATCATTGAAAAAAATAAAATATATGCTTTTTCATGTTTTTACGTTCTGTATATGCGAAGGATCACTTAAAAAGTATCTAGAGGTACATTCTGTTTCACGCATGATATATGATTTTATCATTCTTTGACTGCTATTTCATTTGTACGTTTTTGTCGCATGAATTTTTCGAGTCTATTAATTAGCTTATAAGATAAAGAAATCCGAGGGCCTCTCTGCCCTGCACACATTTGTTAACGCACAAATAAATAAAACCTTTTGAATGCGTTCCGTTTGTCTGTTCAAAGTCTGTTTAATCATAGTTGATTATTTTTATCATATTCAATGATTGGCTTGTGATTGACTAATTTCTTATAGCTTACAACTTGCGACCCTATTGTAGAACAGGCATTACGGATAATAATAATACGCATGTATTATGTTTTTATTCTTGCTGTTCATCGAATATTAACCTTTTATTTGGATCGTTCATATTCCAGGCTAATTTTTATCACTTTAACAAACATATAAAAATTATTAAATAATTCTTACATATACTTACATATACTTTATATCTTTAGAAAGTATCTATTATTTTGTGAGATTGTGTATTTAAAAAGCAAGATATACGTATACAATAAATGTTATAACTGCCCGGGGAAAAAATATTACATATACGGACATATTTCCCATACAATACAGAAACTTGCAGTAACATTGCAGAAATATTACAATATTGCAGATTGCGCAGTAACATTGTAGGTATTATGAATTATAATATTGTATATGCCGTAATATATAATATGTAAGGAACCACGATAGTGTCGTTGCGCTTAGCTTAGCGCAATTTAGTTATGTATGTGAAATGAAGTGGATAGTTGATTCGATTCAATGCACTTTTGTGGCTTTATATTTAATGGCAATCGCAGACTTCTGCACGGATAACACGGATTGTTGTTTCGCATGGAAGTGACCCAGCGTCACCACACTCGGTACCGTCGCGCCAATACCCATATACACGAGGCAACTCCCTCTCTCGGTAACGGGCCTTACCATGACGGGACTTATCAACTAACGCGTGCGGGCATGGAGCGCTTAGATCGATGAATTGATAACATAGATAGTCAACGCGCTAACACACCGCCCATCAAGATTAATCAATTAATCTTCTTTTATAGAATCATTCACTGGTAACTTGCAAAGTTTAGCAATTGCACGTTTAACGATCCCAGTGGGCACCGTCGCGACGCGTACTAAATTGTCCTTGTCAGGATGAACTTCGGTAACGCGTCCAATTCTAAGATACACTACTATTGTGTCTCCTGATTACGGCGTAAGATTTTACAAAATCTTGTAGCATTGGCTGCGTTCAGCGGACTCAACAGTTGAATGAGCGCTATTGATGTCTTCGTCCAGATTTAGATTGGATGATCTAAAAGAATACTTGTACATCAATAACAGCGAGCGCTCTCTCAACTGTTGAGTCCGCTGAACGCAGCCAATATTGTTACAGAAGGGTACTGTCAACGCAATGCTGCAAATACTTTCAAGCGTTTTTAACTGATTAGTTTATAAAATTCTTTCTTCTAATTAATCTATCAAATGCTTCAAAGCATTTATAGCGAGGCTTTGACCACAGCCAGAAACATTAAAAGATATTTTGGCTTTTGAGTAACGAATTGCTGTCATATGTGGAAACATACGTCATTAACACGTTATGTGATTATTAATTATTTCCATTAATTTAATCCGGCTTCTACAAATTTAAAACCGTACAACGCTTGTCGCGTGACAAAATGCGATGATAACCAATGAATATGTTAGGAGTTATAAGCTTATTGGTGTTAGTAGAAACATTTGTTGTCGCCGAAGCGCGACAAGATTTTTCAAACTTTATAATCAACTTTTATAATTTTTTGGAATATTTGGTTTTAAAAAAATTCTTTGAATATTGCAAAGAAAATAAAATAAAATGCGTGGAGTTTCTTATTATTTCCATTTCATTAATTAAGAATATGTACAAAACAGACATATGCTTCTATAAAATATAAAATATATATCTACATAATATAATATTTAAAAAAATATATACAGGGTGGCATGAATATACGGCCCCACTCGTCCCGAGCAGGTAAAGTGGACTAAACTGAATAGAAAAGTCTTGTACCATTTTAATGCTCGCAATAATTAATGAGATATGAACGTTTAAAGATAACCGAATACGCACGTCCTCCCGACCTATTATTGTCAAAAGTACTACTCAGTTCGCTCTACCTGCTCGGGACGAGCAGTGGGGCCGTATATTCATGCCACCCTGTATACCTGCATATAAAATTTACAATTAAGTATAAATATAATAATTATAATATAAAATATACATTAATTAATTTTTTTCTGCATTTTTTAAATTTATATCACAAATTGTATTTCAAATTATATTCAGTAATAATAAAAGAATTATTTTTAATAATTGTTACAAATATTGCGCTGTAACATGCTATGATATTACAGCGCAATCTTGCTAAAGACGGATATTTTTATGATGCTATGACATTGCAATAATGTTGCAAATACATTGCGTAATTTATTTGCAATATTACAACATTGCAATGAGATATATCTGCAATTATTTTGCAATCTTGCTGTATGAATATGGGCATATTTTATATATAATTATATATATATAATTATATATGAAACTCTTTTCTCGGATGATTATTTGATGTTCCTTTTTTCGAAAAAAATAAATGTGCAGGACGCGAAAGATCTAGCCATATTAGAGAAGAATTGAGATTAAAAAAAGATAATCATGTGTAAAAATGCATTCTTAAATCCTAAATACTTGGCTTGTCCATCATCGTCGTTGCCCGCACACGCGTAGTGACACGCGCCTCGCTCGTATCGTTCATAGTCCATACTCCATCAACTCCATGGTGAATGATGTCGAACGCGACGGTCGAACTCAATGAGCGCCATAGTGATTTGCTCCGTGTAATGATAGTGATTCGTAATTTCGTAAGCACGGAACTTATGGAAAGATCCAGAATCATTCCCAGCTAAAACCGTCACCCGCGTCAACATGTGATTTTCGTGAAACCGGCGTCTCTTGAATCCCCGCGATCACCGCAATCGTTCCGTAACGAAAACCTAACCTAATCTAACAGTGACACTTCCGCGACGATCTTACGATCGGCACTGCTGCCGCTATCGCTGCTGTAGTTATTTTAATTTTTTTGTATAACTTTAGTAGCTATCGCTCGTTCCGCTCCGTCTGTAAAAAACGGTGTCTTAGCGAAGTCAGATTCGCGATAACCTTGGCAAAGTCGCGAAGGCGCAATTGCGTTCGATGACAGCGCATCATAGGAGCGGCTCGTGCTGGTCGCGGTGATCTGACAGGAACAAGCTGATCAGGCATGCACCTGATGCATGCGGCGCAATCATACGCGGGCGATCATCTTCGGGTGTGTACACTTTCGTCCTACGTCGTGCTATCATGAGCGAGGAGTCTAGAAAAATAGTGACCAGGTTCCATCCCATCCACGGTGAGAACATCCTCCTGTGCGAGGACAGCACGGTCGCAGTACGGACTACGAGCTTTGCCAATTCGGTGGCCTTCAGCGAGAAGCCTTTACAGCCAGGAGAGATCTTCCTCGTAGAGATCGAGAAGACGGAGAGAGGATGGAGTGGACACATGCGGCTGGGTCTTACTTTGATCGATCCAGCTTCGGTCAACAACAACTTGCCTCAATATGCAATGCCCAATCTAGTTAGATTAGGCAATACGTGGATCCTCGCTATAACTAGGAATCAAACTATCTGGGATAATTTTGATGGTGGTCTATCTTCCACATACACCTCTATCACAGGTTAATATCTGTTACGAAATTACTATGATAATTTTATAAAAATTCTCTTTATCAATATTACAGTTAATTTTGAAAATTAAAAAGGAAGTTTAAAAATGATACATTATGCCTGTTTTTTTTTTCAGCTGAACTTCTTGCAAGGTTTATGTTCTTTTTCTTTTCATATTGAAAAGAAGAAGATAAAAGAACTGTGTAAGAAGTTTAGTTAGAAAGAACAGACTTACTATATATATATATTTGTAATATTAATATAAAAATTGCTACGAGTTTTAAAACATATAATTATGAAAATATCTAGACATAATAAAACAGTACGAACAATAATATATAATATTAGATGAATTTAAAATTTATATATGTTATACACTTGCTGAATATTATATACTTGTTCATAAAAAGGACTACCACCAGGAATACCAGCCAGAGAGAAGAAATTGATCACAGATGGAGTCAATGTGCAAACGTCACGTGGTGTTATTCCTTTTAATGCTCTAAAACCAAATATAGATGGTTCTTCTCAATGCATCCTGCCTACAGATGCGGGTAGTCGTATTGGTATCATGTATGTACCGCAGGCCGGTTGTCCTGATAAAGCAGAAATGCATTTCATCATCAACGGTGAGGATCAAGGCGTATGCGGCAAGGATATTCCTTATAAGGCAGGACCTTTGCGTGCTGTAGTGGATGTCTACGGTACCACGAAACAAGTTCGAATAGTTCAACTGTATGGAGGTAAATATCTATGTCCTAGATCATATCCCGTTTCTTTATTCAGCACAGTTTCTAGATTGTTTCTATATGTTTCAGCAGTATCAACACTACAGAGTGCATGCCGTGACGCTATATTGCAATACACCAAGAGAAACGCAGTCAATCTGCTCCCTTTGCCGAGACTACTGAAGGACTATCTCTTATATCAATCGCAGTGAGAATCAGCTCATTCCGCTTTTGCATATGTTAGGAACATTACTTGTCAATTTCTATATCTTTTCCCAGTGATATCTTCAGTGTTTATATATGCGTAATATATATGTTCTATTCATTATTGAAGACTGCCGAATCATGTCGATTTAAAGCGTTGGTGCGAATATATTCGTTTCTATAAACATATCTTTTCGAAATGTATATGATAGAAATGATTGACTGTATTTAATAATGGAGAATTCTTTTTACTTGCGCGTTTTGAAGATTTTTCTGGGGCAGAAACGTTAAATCATAACGTGTATATAGTGTAACGAAATGTTGATCGCTGCAAAATCGAAAAATTCAGCGAAATCATATTGAAAGTTTAAATATACATAATTATCATTTGGAAATGACATATATGAGGCATAACAATGTCATATATAAAAGTTAGATATATTTTCAGGCAGTTATTTTCATTCTACTTATATTTCCTGATTTCTCTATTTATTATGAGATATGTAGGTTAAGTTGCAATTGGCACTGTTGTTAAACAAATAAAAACGAACAATGTTAGTATAAATGTCCAAAGCAAACTTGTTTTACAAAATAAAGGTATTTATAAAAAGAAAACAAAAAACCATATCGATATCAGAATCCAGTCTGTCCATATATCCAATATATTTGTACTCATATAAACTGATATATATTTTTCTAAATTTATATTCCTTGTTATATAATCATATCACTTAACAACAAGATACATATCCTCAACATCATTTGAAATAAATTTATTTCGTATTAGAGAGAGTTAATATATTATATATATGTATATATATATATA